TTATGGACTTTTGGTAGTATGAAATGGACAAAGCAGAGGAGGAATATATTCAGGAACAGCTTGCATTGAGATCGCCACCTGCACCTACATATTATTGTACCGTCTAATGTTACATTGTACACGTATGATGATCGTCATGAACAAAGGCACAGCCATTGCAGCCACTTGCCATGGCGCAACTCCTGCCGTTGACGACAAAGTTATTGCTGTAGGCGCACACGTCGCCAGCGATGACGTTTGCGCCTACAGCAACAACTATTACTTTGTCCTCAACGGCAGGAGTGGCAGTGGAGGAACCTCACACGGCGGGCAGTGCAGTGAATGGCTCCACGGGCATCTGCCTCTGGAACTCTTCCGCTTCTCTCACCTCGTCGTCACCTCGTCGTCACGTCACTATGGGACCGTCACTTCATTTCAATCTATCATGAATCTGAATGATGCATATATGATACTATGTGTAGCAACGTTAGCATGGTTAGTGCGAACTTCTAATAGATTGTCTGCTTCGCGTGCTTGTCTAAATTATAGCGCCATCTGCATGCATGTTCCAGCAGCACTGTGTGTTTCGTTATCACCTTTAGAACTTTCGTCACCAGTCACCTAAGTCCTTCAACTTCTTTGGGTATGCCACTTTTCTATGTCGAAAGTGCGCAATTGCGCCACTTTACCATATACTCATTGCTTTATCTGCTATTCATTCGTTATCTACCTCCACTGAGGAGATCCTTAATGAGCGAAACAGCTGTCTGGAGGATATGGAACATCTACCCAAGAACGAACTTCCTCGCTATGGAGTGGTGTTGTGAATGTAGGCCAAGAGCGCAGTGTGGAGAGGTGGACGGTTGAGATTATTTTCAAATGGCTGAGTTTGTGGCTACTTCTGTGTACTTGTTTTTCGGTTTTGACAGCATGTTCCAAGGCGAGGACGCGTAGTGCTCCTGACTACAACCATAACCCGGCTGGCAAAATCGAAAAACATGATAAACTACCAAGCAAGGCTTCTTCTGTGTACTTGTACTACATGTACTGTAGTTCAATGATTTTCAATGATTATGTAGCTTGGTCAAGGCCGAAGGGACAGTCCCCAGCAATCGTACGCTGGGGGATGTCCCTTCGAGTGCCGTTCTCCTTCAACAGCGTGTGGTAGTGAGGAGCTCAGTGGTGGTTGCATGAGCTCCTGGCCCGGGTGCCCCAGCAGGAGAGGCGCCAGCTGAAGTCTTCTGAACATGCTGTCAGGACAACTGTTGAAGGCTAGCCAAACAGTATCCCCTAGGGCAATATAATGACAACCTGTCACCTCTAATGAACTTCAAAGTGAGTAGAAAAGAATGGGCTCAGAGCTCAGAGCACAGCTCAGGAGTCAGTGACTGGAGTACTCTAGCTACCCTCAAGCACACACCATGCACACACACACACACACACACACACACACACACACACACACACACACACACACACACACACACACACACACACACACACACACACACACACCAAAAGATCAGGCATGCACATGCAGTGGCCATAGATTGTGAAGACAATGACCGCGCATATGATGCAGCTGAGCTGAGCTGACAGGTGATGGTGTGATCACATGATCTTGGCTGACCGTAATGTTGGACAACAGGTGATGTCGCGTACTAAAGCTGGGCTTATTTGATCCTGTAGAAGCCGATGTCATGGCTAGGCTTCTATTCGCATCAGGCTTCTATTCAAACCAGGTATTTCTATGTATGTCAACACTAACACCAGGCTTATGTGCCGACAGTGTATCTTGAAAATCAGGCTTGTATTTAAACCAGGCTTCTGTAATTACGAGGCAGGCTCAAGAATCTAGACACTCTGGTTACTACACACAACATGGTCCAGGATAGTGCTACAGAGTCAGTAGCCTACACTGCACAGGTCACCGATGAAAACTTACTACTTGTAGTATGTAGTCTGATCCTACACTACAGACAACAGACTGCAGTGTGCACAGCACTATAGTATAGACTATCCTACACTATAGACAACAGACTGCAGTGTGCACACCACTATAGACTATCCTACACTACAGACAACAGACTGCAGTGTGCACAGCACTATAGTATAGAGTGACAGTACTGGTCTAACCTAACCCTAGGGCAGTAGAGGATGAACAATCCCAGCCGACCACTCTACACCAACTACATGTGCACAGCAGTTGTGGCGTGTCCGGTGCACCACAATGCCAGAGTCAATGTGGGATGTGATACACACACGCACGCACACGCACACACACACACACACACACACACACACACACACACACACACACACACACACACACACACACACACACACACACACTCCCTCTCTCTTTCCATCTCTCTCTATCTCTCTCTCTCTCTCTCTCTCTCTCTCTCTCTTCTCTCTCTCTCACTAGTATTTACTGTAGCCCATGAGCACGGTGCAAAATTGGACTTGACCACTACTACCATGGCTAATACTAGTAATAGCTGTATCTCTGATGATGAGTACAATGTAGTTTGCCTCCCATACTCACTGAGTCCCTCTTCAGGCTCTGACCGCTCCATTCCCATACTCACTGAGTCCCTCTTCAGGCTCTGACTGCTCCATTCCCATACTCACTGAGTCCCTCTTCAGGCTCTGACCGCTCCATTCAAGAATGTGCTACTGAACAGTGCAAGGTAACATGGCTGCTGCACTCGTGACTCAATAAATTCTCTTTTAGCTATACCACTGTATAGTTAAACAATGTATTCGCCTACCGGTATGCAGAGTGCGTTGAAGTCCTCTAGGCACTGTACAGTGGTAACCCACCATGCGGCGGCATGTGCTGGTTTACAGCTACCATATTTTCCGGAGTATAGACCTTATTCGATAACGTAACTTTTGGACTCGCCTCCAGGGATTTGTCGTAAGCTAGGGCACGCGTACGAGAAAGGAGTGGCAAGAAAGGCCCAGTTTGTTCAAGGGAGTAGTAAAATACTGGTATTTTCTACTCCCATGTTCGCACACAGAGTCCATTGTGCACTGAGTGCAGGTCTCTTGCCACTCCCTGGTTCCCGGGACCCCGGTTCACGTGATTGTGACGTTTATCGAATAAGGTCTACATGTATAAACAGCACTTTAACCTGGTGGTGTGCACGGGGACTCGGGTAGCCGTGCTACCCCTGAGGATCTCGGGTAGACGGGTACAGAATAGAGAGGTTAAGTTTCACGTAAAAGTCTTACGTCCGTGAATTTTTACGTCAAAAAGTGAAAAAACTCACGTAAAATTTGACGCGTTTTACGTGAGTTGACTGTCCCGCACGTAAGTTCATGACGTGAGTTTTTGGAAGTTTCGCTTGGTTATTCCGGCCGAATTTGTGTGAGTTTCCGGAATTATATCGAGTTGTATCGAGTTTGTTGGAAGATTTAATATCTGTGCGAACTAAACCCGAATCCTGCCAGGCAAAATTTCACGTCACGTCGCACGTGTAACTTAACCTCTAAAAATTACACGTAACGTGAGATTTGCACCGCGTTTTGAAAAGGGGCAAAAAACGTGTAACTTAACCTCTCTAATAGTACCCGAAAACCCGAAGTCGCAGATGATATCATGTACAGTGCAGGTGGACAAATTCATGTACCACTCCGCATGTCTACCCAGTGTGTAATGAAAGGGGTGCATTGTGATGTTACCATGGAACCATTATCCGATCGGGTACCCGTGCTCCCCGTGGAAACCGACCTGAACCCGATACCCCAAGAAAATGCTACCCGACTCAGCCCTAGTTTAAAGTTTACTTAAAACACCAAAGTCAGGCACAGTGGGTTGGTCTAAGACCATGATTGAGGAACGAGAGGTACCAGGTTCAAGTCTTGCTTGGAAGCGGAAGGATTATTCCAACTGTGCTGCGACCCACAGTTAATTGGGAACTCGTGGCCTGGCATGATTAAATAATGGATGTGGAAAATGGGATTTGAGCCTTTGGCCTGTGGTTGGTGGATCTGATCTATCCTCCCCCACCGTTTAGGAGCCGCATCTGACGCCTGACCATGGGAAGGTGGCGTCCCACGGAAGCGGAAAGGTGGTTCTTGACCAGGGAGTTGTACGACTCCTTGTTCTTGACCTGCCCGGTACGCGAACCCGTCGAATATATTTATTTTTAAACACCACTAATTCACACAAACAAAGTCGGCTTAAACTATGATGGTCAAATTAACGGTGATAAATGGAGTAAATGTCAGTATTTCGTGCCAAAAAATCTGGTTACGGCTTATGTACTCCAGTGCGGCTTGTTTTCTGGAAAATACAGTACAATCGAGTGTTCAAATGGCAATATGCAGTAGGTGCATGTTCCATACTCTACGGGCGGAGCGATGGAAATCTACACCGACCGGTAATCTACGTATCCACAGACGTTTCCAGCCGTCCGTCTTGAATTTCAAGCGGGCTACAAGTCTGCTGGCACGTGTGGAAAAGCGGTGTACATAGTACAGTACACCGGTTGCTGAGCTCGCAGCCGTGAACGCCCCTGCATGGACCCTGGGCTTCATGAAGCGCAGCCAAGCACCCTGTCTCCATCGCAGCTGTGAGAGTCCCAGCATGGACCCTGGGCTTCATGAAGCGCAGCCAAGCACCCTGTCTCCCTCGCAGCTGTGAAAGCCGCTGCATTGACCCTGGGCTTCATGAAGCACAGCCAAGCGCCTGGTCACCTTAAAAAATCACGGTTTGCGCGAGACTCGGCTGGAGTAACCTGAGAATCCGGGGCCGGCCAACCTTGCAGCCGTGAAAACGTCTGCAAGGACTTCGGGTTCCCTGTAGCACAGCCGCTTAAGCACCCGGCTATCCTCCACTGGCTGCAGCATGGGGTGGTCTGACCCCAGCTGGATGTTGAATCGGTACTGCACTCGAACACGTTACTAGTAGTCGGATTTCAGTTGCCACCTAGAACTACCTTTGTATGAATATAAAATTATTTTCAAATTAATAATAATAATAATTATATTATCCAGCTGTCAGTACTTACAGAATTTGTGCCCCCCTCGGGTGGGCGCGGGTCGAGGAATGGCCGCTGCGCCATTCTCTTCGCTGCTCCGTTGTGCTCGTCGCACGACAACGCGACCGGTGCGGGTAGATCGGACCAGCGCCGAGCGGGTATCTGCCGACGTGCGCCCTGCTTCGCTCGATGAAAACCTTGACAACAAGTCTCAGTGAAGAACAAAGCGGCTGATAATTATGAGCTCACGATCACGGCACTACAGCCTACGCTGGCCACAGTATGTAGGGGTACGCAGCAGGACGAGTCCGTCGCAAACACCACCAGAGTGTGACGCTTCGCGATCTACGCTGAAAGACCTGGGCTGAGTGAGCCGAGAGCAAGCTGGAAGACAAAAAGAGACAGTAAAAAAATACTAAAAATCATTGAATCATCCTGTCATGTAGGAGTCTGTACTGTCTGTAGTGTAGGCTGTAGCCAGTGTAGGTCTGGTGTACATCATTGTAAGAGGGGGAAGTACATGTAAGTTCGGAGTCGCACGATGTTTTTCACATTTATACTGGCATAATTATCACAATTATTATAGAAAAATTACTTCGAAGTATTATAATTATGCATCAAGTGCAATGGGCGCTTTCGATTACACGTTTACACAATTCTGGAACTGTTTTTTTTAAATTCTGGAATGACCAGAATGAGCGGATTCCGGCCTTGTAAACGAACGACTGGAATTCACAACGCATTTTATTCATGTCATGTCACAAACAAAATTGATGAATCGTAAAAAGAGATCACGTACACCCTCGCGCACACGTGGACCTAGCATCGCGCACCCCCCTGCCAGGGAGGCTCTTCGCGCGCTAGAGTCATGACCAGACCGGTAACACACCGATTGTGCAATTCTGGCGCCAGAATTAGAGAAATTCCGCCCTCTCTTCAGAATTGACGGATTCGACGGAATTGGATAAAATCAATTCTTACGACAGAATTTGTCACTTTTTGTGTAATCGAACTGTGCATCAACAATAACTAATTCTAGAATTGACCGAAATGCGTGTAATCGAAAGCGCCCAATGATACATGCATGGCTAGGAGAACTCACCTGCACTCTGCGTCTTGAGCAGGTAAGCAACTGTTACTTTGAGTTTGAGGCTGGCAGTGCAGTGGCACAGTGGTAGTGGTCGATTTACCACACTACGGATCACCTGCTTCTGCACGAAATCAGAATCTAGGTTTTTGGCAATGCCCAGCAAGCGCTGCCGATACATGTACTAGCACTCGATCTTCATCCGTTCACAAGGTCTGATCGGGTACAAACCGACGCTGCGAACAAGCGCCAGGTGTTATATTGACACACACGCATGCATAGCATGCTCGATCGCAGCCAACGAAAGATGGGCCGGGCGGCCGGGCCGCGGGCCTGGCAAGGCCACATGCACACGACAATCATGGTGGTGCCGCTTCGGCCTAGATAAAAATAATGTCATGTGAGCTGGCCAGCCGCCGAGATGCGATCTCCCGATGTCGGATGAGGGATTTCCCCTCGTTAGCAGTTGTGTCTGGGGAAGTACCTGGTGTGGGATTCCTCTCGCACACCGCTTCCCGGGCACGTGCATGATGCCCAATGGGCGAAATATTGGCAAAGTAAGTAGTTATTTATTTTGGTGCAGCTGAGAGCCTGTTGCTGGAATGGCGGTATTTTCAAGTGCAAGAAATACGCTGCAATGGAGTTTGGGAATTCTGAAGAAACGTGCAGCAAGCACTTCAAGTAATAGTTGAGACTGCATGCAGCTACATTGTAGCTGGCACATCACAGGCTTCAAACCAGTACTGTACATGTACATGTACATGTACCAACAAGAGCATACTGCGTGCATTATTGATCTTGGTTTTTCCATTATTATTAATTTTGCCATGGCGACCCCCGCAAGTCCTAATAACTGGCAGGGCAGGGTTGGGCCTTTTTCTTTTTCTACGAGTCTCATTAGTATGTTCTGTTGCCCAAACAATTTTTTTAGTGTCTATTTGAATTCGGATAGCTCAACAGTACGGCTGCGTTTTAGGCTCCGGCGGATTATGCTCGCGAAATCATGGAAATATGCTTTCATGGATTCTCGCATTATGCTCGCAAAATCCTCGTATTACGCTTTGGCACGCGGGGATACATATCCACTTTGTTGTACTTATGGAGCCTCAAAATTCGGAAAATCGTGCCTTTTTCGTACTTGCAAGTGGCCATAAATACAACAAAATACATGAGTATATCCCCATTCCAAGGTGTCCATGCATGCTAGAGATCAACATGGAAAAGAGAAAACATTACTGTCTTCTTCTATTCATTAGTTGACTTCTTTTGTAAAAAGATTTTTTCATTGCCAAATTAGTTTGAGTTACCTTTGAAAATTATCATCATGCACGGTTCAAGTGTTTTCGCAATCGTCATACTCGTCCAACCGATGTCAACCTCACCCTGCATGCGATTAATCTACTTCCATCATGACCGAACATCAACCTTACCTCAATTTTGTTTAATTATTAGAACAATATTCATAGCCTGCTCAGTCTGGTCATGGCTGCTAAAATCCAGAGGTCATGACTTCGTGACATGCGTAAAGTACATGTACATGTTTTTGCGGACTACCCGTCTCTGCACTACAGTAAGATCGGGCGCCGAAGAACGCAGGGGCTCGAGCGAAGCCTAGGAAAGTTCTTAAATTTTTGATTCTAGCCAGACCGTTCTTATTCACACGCGCGCGGCTAGTCGAGAGACGTCATGACGTTTGTCATGACGTTTGTCATGTACATGTACATGTACATGTAGTGCTGTAGTACTTCTAAACTAGTGGGTGTCGTAAATAGGAATGACTGCACATGTAGTAACTGTTTACACGTGTACATGACATATACTCACCTCCCATACATGTACAATGTAGATCTACGTACAATGTAGATCTAGTGTTCTTAAATCTGATAATTCTAGCCTGGACTGTTCTTAAATTTTGCCGGTTTTCCAGCCTGGGTGTTCTTCGGCGCCCGATCTTACTGTATCTCCGAGCGTTCGCCCCGGGAACCTGACCAAGGCTGATTCACTCGCATCTTCTGCTACTGTACCAGTGTGAGAAAGAACTTTCAAGAAGATGAGTTCGAGCATACAACAATGTACATGTAGTGCCATGATTTCTACCCTGCTTTTCATTGAAAACACTATCTGCATGACCTCCGAACCCTTTACCATGCAGACCACCAGCACTGATCAGGTGCATTGAACATGTACACAATTGTGTAGTCTACATTGTACATACTAGAACTGTGGTACAATCCGATGTAGCTATGCTCCTACCTCCAAAAGGATGCCAAATTATGCTCCAAATTTTCAACCACCAAATTATGCCAGTAATTATGCCGGCATAATCCCCCGGTGCCTCCTGCGTTTACACGACAACGCTGGGAGTGAAAACGCAACAAAATCCTTTTATTTCGGATGCATGGTTCATTTACACGGTACGAAGAGCAAAACGTAAAAGTTGTACACCAAAACGGAAGAAAACCAAAACGCTGGCCAAGGTGGAAGAATTTGAAAACGGAAATGTTCTGCCGGATAAATTTGAGTGTGTAAACAGTCGAAACGGTGTGCTGGCCTCGTTTTCCGTCACGTTTGTTCCGTTTTCACCCGTTCGCACGGATCCGGCAATCCTTTTTTTTACAATTTTCGTCATGTGACGAGTGTTGTTTTGTGGCCTGTTTATAACTATTACTTGAGTGTGATTGGTGCTTCCACGACAACACTTACTTGGCACATGACGAACTTTTGCGGATCCTTTGCCCCCGTGTAGATGCGCGAAAACGATACAAACGGAGACCACCTCAGATCAACTTTGATCATGTAAACGCACGAAAAGGAAAGAAGAAATGCGGTAGGCCTCGACCAAATAGGCTTGCGCATATTTCCGCATATTTTGTGAGACAGCTCATATAATTATGGCATATTGAGCGACAAAGGGAATATTGGAATGGAGCCAGCATATAATTCAAATATTCTGAAGAAAATGAGGACAAAACATTCATAATATGGACAAAATTCGTTCAGAAATGCCTTTTATGGATGAATTTGGAATGGTTGAAGCGTTTGCTACATTTCCCCATGAATGAACACTATCGCTACGGTTGCTGGGAATACACCCCAGCCATACTATTCGGAATGTGTTTTGATTTGCACCATAAGCATGATAGCCGTGAAGCCAATGAATATTCCAAGGTTGTAATTTTACTGAAATGATCTACACTTTCTGCTTATGTCGAGCATATTTTGGCATATCTCTTTGCATATCATGCTAAGCCTTTGGCATATTATGGACGTTTTCCCTGATATGCGACGAGCATAACATGCTCTCTTTTAAGCATATTTGGTCGAGGCCTAAAAATGCGGGACTGAAAACGGAAAACTGGCCGTGCGTTGTCGCGTAAACGCAGCCTAATAAGTATGACCTGATGACTGTGGACTTGTGGAGTTCAAACCCCAGTTGAGGACTTGATGTGCTTTTACCCATTTTCATTTCAAATTTCGCGGCACTGCAAAGTGTGCTATAAAAGCAACAAAATCAACAAAATCAAGTTCCCGTAATTAGTACGGGAACTCACCAGAATTAGAGACCAGTTTTGATGAATGGACTAATATAGGAAGCCGGTGCTCAGGTCACCATATTCATGTCAGCGCGGTGGCTCTACGCAGGGGCGTACGCCGCTCGCCTCCTGGAGCGGTTCCCATGCCAACTGATGAACCAACATTCCACACAATTGAAGTGCTGTATTTCGTATCCCACGGAGTTTCTGCATATTCTCCTCAGACTGGGTGAAATTTTCATCCACAAGCTGCTAGACAATGTCATTGCTACGCATTTTTGATTTCAAAAGACTGAACTTTTCACCGTTTTATGGATGTTTTGTTCAGCATGACGATTGCGTGCAGTCTTGAAAGCTGCCTAAGTTTCGAATCATCTGGAGCAAACATCACACAGGGCAAGCAGAGGCCACCATTGCACGCCGGTCAAAAGACTACCCAAGGTAACTCCTGTAACAAGGATAGTTGAAAGTGGCGCTGTTTGCCATCCATCTGGACACGCACAGGAAATGAAATCCTTTGCCTTCGGTGGCGCACAATGATTGTCGGTGACGCCGGAAATCTTTTCCGTGTCCGGCAAATGTCGGGGGACTGGATTCCACTGTGGACGTCGACTTTCAGAATATTCCTTCGAACACATATCCCTTCCAACACACTCCCATGTCACTGAAGTAACAACGGTCGCTCTACAGCTTCGCCGACGATTTCTTCCTCAGCGCTGTTCGTTGCATGCAGCCTTCGCTTGCAAGTCAGGTGCGTCAGTGTCACCATTCTCATCTATCTCTTGACCTTCGCCACTAGCACTGGCTACACGCTGTGCCTGCTGCTCAAAATAGCTCTGAATATAGCGCTGGCCCTCTGGATGTCGACGCTTCATTTTTCTTTTCCACAAAGCGAAAAATCGATCAAAACACGACGAACTTCGTCAAAACAAACTGCAAAGGAAATTTGACTCTGAGATCGAGGAATCCGGCGATCTAGGTAGAGACTTTGTTGAACCCAGTCCAGTACTAGGTGTAATGGGTAGCCGAGTGGTAGGCGCGGTGAAATCAACAAGAATTACTTTTATTTAAAGAGTCGGCGTGGAGGCCATGTCTGCATCGATTATACTCCTAATTGCACTAATAAAATTACTTTTATTCTACTTCTTTCAGGTACACACCTGAGATATAATTATTAGTGAAAGAAGAAACGGCAAAATGACTGACTTTCTCTCCGGTGCACACCTGGAGGTTGAATAGCTCGTTATTATCAAAATCTCATCTTCTTCAAAACAGAAATGCGCAGCCGCTTTTATGCAGCAGACGCCGTACGCTTACATACGGAGATACACTAAATATACATCAGGCAAAGCTCCGTATTAGTTCCGCACTGCTTCCGTATTGGTCGGGCAGGGATACTACAGTACACTGTGTCCCAGCACCGCTTTCACACCTGGGCTAGTCACAGTCCTCGGACCGTCAGCATGGTCAGGCGCGGACTCCAGGCGCTAGGCATGCACTTGCACTGCGAGCGCTGGGCCTGAAAAAGCTGGATCCAAAATATTCTGTACCAATATCGAATATTTTTACTGGTTCCAGGGCATCCCGGGAACCGCGCGCCCTATGTACGCCCCTGCATACGGAGTCATACATATACGGACCCTGACTAGGCTTTCCCCAAATCGGCCCGTTTTTCGCCTATTCAG